GACCCATCTCCAATATAATTCCTTAATTATTTCTTTTCCGGTTGTCTAGTTGGATTCGCATTTCAGGTGCTCGGTGTCCATGTCTCGGAATAGAATGCTTGCCGTTTGCTGGTGTTTAGGGTGTCAGACGTTCAGGATGAGGAGGATGACATGGAGTACAACATGAGCAACATGAGTGACTTGCTCTGCACGCATCCGCTGCCACTTTGAAAGGGTTTTCGGGCAACGTTGGGCCAGGATCGGGATCCATGTGGTTGATGTGTGAGTGAACAGGCTGTCCATCCTGGCTGGTTTTGCATTTGAGGTGGTTCTTGTGTTTAAGCCCTAGGGGTGAATCCCCTAACCTAGGGAAGATGTTTTGTTTCTTCCCGGGTTCCTGGTTAGCAAATCCCAGTCCCTAGGGATGTATCCGGATCCGTCCTCTGAGCTACGGGCGAACATGTGATGTGTTCGACTCTTTGTGTCTGGTTCGGCGCCAGGCTCGGGTCCAATCACCCTAATGACCTCAGAGGATGGATCCGTAGATCCTTAGGAGCCCCATGCCCTCGTGAGCGGGCTGCATGGCCCCTGCTGGGAGCGGAATTCCGGTCGACGAGGGGTCCTCTATGGTCCTATCACTTTTTAAAGACACCCCGCTTTCCATATAAGGTTGTATAAAGATATCCCCCAGTAAGCAGTTTAGGAGCAGGGGTGTTCCTCAGTTTGCTGATTGGACCTTTTTCTTCCTCTTGACATCTGGAGGAAATCCGGGTTGACGGGTCACAGGTCATCTCTGGTCATCTCTGGACCTTTTTTTGCGCCCAAGGCAATGTCAGCAACTTCAGCAACGGCAGCGCAGGACGCTGGACCAACGGACGCTCGGGCACAGAGGACAGGATGAGCGGAGCGGACGTTGGACGGGCCTCACGTCGTGTCGGGAAGAAAGACTTTGACAGAGCAGGTTGAACCAGGACGTGCTTACTGAGTCAAACTGGACTTGCATAGGGCCATAATGGCGGTTGCGGGATGTGTTTTGGGAGGATCCGACTGGTTTGTCATGGCCTCATGGCCTCATGGAGGACTGTGGCAGCTGCCGGGAGTGAAGACTTGATGAAATATTTGTGGGAAGACCTAATAGTGATTTGTTCAGAGACTTGGATGACATAGCATGACCGGGTCGCACATCATAGCAGTTTGGACTACACCATGACGACACCGTGACGACACGACTGATGGGACTGGAATAGATATGATGCCTGCATTGATCACTCCCCTGGAGTGGTCCTGTCTGGACTACTAGCCGCTCCAGCGTGATGTGGAAGACCATGACAGTTGCTCTGATGGTCAAAGCCTAGGTCACTCTCATACGCCCGTCAGACATGGCTGCCCCGTGCATCTCACGGAGTCCAAGTAAAGCCTTGCTACAAGGCTGGGCAATGTAGACCTGGACCCAACTTCAAGTATACTGAGACTCCACAGACTCTTGATTCATCAAGCCCAGACGTGGATTGTAAAACCTCTTCAGGCCTCCCACTGGGTTTTGTGAACCCTGCGCATGAAACGTCTTCAGCCAGCATGACGCCATCCACACGGCCGAAACGGTGGTCGCTGAGGGAACTGGAGCAACTTGAGCGATCCAACCTGGTTGGATCCTCTGATCCCCACGCAGCACGTCATTGCACACTGCCCCCATGACAACACCGTGGCAGGCGAGGCGTTCGACAGACGGCGTTTCGCGGACCACGCCAGACGCTTCAAAACACATGCAGATCGGGGGTCCATGGGTTCGAGCATGTTCAAGCGGTAGAGTTGGGGGCCAGAGTTTTGGGGATCCATTTTTTTTTGGGGTGGGCCGGTGACGTGAAGGCCATGCATCTGAGATCCACAAAAGATAGACACATTATGGTAGTATATATGAAGAGTTTTCAGAGCCTAGAGCTGGGTGGTGAAGCACTAAGACTCTAAGAGGAGGGGTTGTTGACAAGGATTGTGAAAAGCAGGTAAAAGTGAGATGTGGAGGTTCAAAACTCTTACAGTGAAGGGTTACGGACAGTTCCGGGCGGCACCAGCGGTCGATCATCTGGTTAGGCCGGCCGATGCTTCTGCCAGAACTTTTGTGCTTCTTCGAGGACTGTGACATCCGCATCACGGGCGAATGCACTGAAATCCTTTTACCAGGAGACACCCCCAATTCACGGACCAAAGACAGACTGATCCACCCATATCAGCACATGTATCAGTTTTTGGATGGAGAACGTGCAGCACTTCGTGCACATGTTTCAATTCGTTTAATTCCAAAAGGCTCGCCCTCGCTCGTGCCTTTCGAAGTCTTGGACTTGTGGGGTTTCGTGGAAGCCGAACGACTTGTTCGATGATCCAGTCGACCGATCTTGCGACACGAAGAACACGACCAGGCCTCGGGGATCTGCCACAAGCTGTCTGGCATTAAATTGGGGTGGTTGAGCACAGGGGTCAATCAATGTACCTACAGAGGCTAAGTGACCTTATAGGAGCCTACAGGGGTACTATATAGGATAGTCTGTAGGGTTCTTCAACCTCTGCTGGTATAAGGCATCTATTCCAGTCCCATGGATGGTCTGGTCTGGGTGGGAAGGTTGACCCGACCAACCAACAGGAATCCTATCTGTGGGGCCCCCGCCAAAGGCCCTATAGACGAGTCTAAGCTCGACGTCCCCTAAGCCCTCCAACCATCTGCTCAGGTCTGGTGGTTAGGCCCTAGCACCCACCCCAACCATCGAACCGCAACGAAGGGGGGGCAGCCTGGAGCCCTACAGGTCGACTATCCCCTAGGTCCCTAGGTCGACCCTTAGGTCTCTAATCGGCGCTTAAGTCAGCGTCCTGCTGCTGCGGCTGGAGGACTGTATTGACCCTTGGCCGATCCCGGAAGGCTATACCAAGGAAGAGGACGCTGCTGTCGACAGGGGCGGACGACCGGACATCGGCTTCGGGGGGGTCGATGCGAAGGGCGAACGGGACGACGGTGCTTGGGTCTGCTCGCTTCTTAAGCGGGGTACCTACAGTACACATGGAGTTGGGGCCCGTGTGGCTCGTCCCATCGAATGGATGTGAGGTCAAAACACCGACCCTTTCCTCCTGACTCTACGCTTCGGTCGCCCGGCACCCAACCTCCATGACAACCGGGTTCGGACGCTTCGCTTCGGGTTCGGGTTCGGGTTCGTTGGGTTCGGAGAGCTCCCCGAAAGAGGCTTGATTAGCGGGGGGTGCTGTTGCGCAAGAGTTCTGAGAGCCGCCCCATCCTTCAATGCTCACCCCCACCCTTCCGCCGACCCAGACCGTTCACATCCCCTCCGCATGGGCTGCGAGTTCTCCAAGGTGTAGGGTGTGAGAATTTCATGCTCCATTTGGGATACTCCCCTGCTACTCCCCATGCAGATTCACTCTGAACCCCACAAAACATCACAAAACACTGGGAGTTGGTCTTCGGAACATAGGTCTGTGACAGATGATTTCTCAGGTTCCATGTTCGTTGGCGGAGGGGTTAGATCTTTTAACTCCAGAACCTCCACCCACCGGACCGAACCAACAAACGCCACGCCGAGCGACCCGGGTCCACCACGCGGTCCACCGGGTCGGAGACACATCAGACACGACGACAACTGAGGTCTTTTCCAGGGACTGGAAGAGATGCCACCCCAGAGCAGACCCCTGTTTTCAACCGGCACCGAACTGATCAGTCAAATAGGTCAGCTCCACATGGATCTGGGTGAGGTTCTCCTGGGACCCCGATCCACCAGAATCAATCGTGTCCGACCAATCATGGCGGACAGATGTGCAAATGGACATCCAACTCGCCTGGATCAATCCATCCCAAATTGAAGAACAAAACGATGCTGGCGAAGAAATGAGGGAAGCGATGCATCCCTAACGAGTCTGGACGATTTCTGGAGGAGTCTGTTGGAACTGGAGTTCTGCGGTTTTTCTTCATCCTAACCGGTTGAATTGGAATCTGCCATTGGATACCAAAGTACCCGAACTTAGAAGTAGGCACGTCCATGTCTTTACCATGTTCCTGGAACAAACAGGGCCAGCCTGAATGCTGCTCGATATCTTTATCCACTCTGATGGCGAAGAACGAGCAAGAGGTTGATGCCCGCCCTCCATTTGCAGTGCTTACTCCATGTCCTCTTGTAAGGTTGGTCCAGAGATACAAAAATTGTTCCATTCATCTTCAAACTCTTGACATTATATATATATATATATGGGCCATATATATAATATATATTACGTAAATATTATATCACTGTCATTCTACTGACTACTGTATGTCAAGTCTTGTATGTGAAGAGTTTTTTCAAACATGGTGGCTTACATGCATGAAATCACCAAGCCCAGGAAAAAGCTCAGTAGAACGCTCCAACTGGGCAATTTCGCACCGCAAGCACCGAAAGCTGCCGACCGGCCCGTTCTGGCCCGAGCGCAGAGGGTGCTACACGATTAGTTGATAGACAGGTGCCGGTCGCCAAGCGGCTGAGAGCACCCAACGATTGGAACAAAACAAGTGCTGGCCTTCGGGTGGTTTAAAGACTGCTCACTTGGAAGGACGCAACAGATTCCAGATAGTAACAAGACGCATAACTACATAAATAACCAAGAGACTATTTTTTTTGTTCGAGCATTTTTGTTGTCAGTGATGCTTGCGCCTCCGGTCAATCTTGAGATCACTGAAGTGTCAATATGAGTCTATGATTTGCCAATAGAAAGATATTGTACGTACAATAAATGGAAGCAATAGAACATCACCATACATCACCTCTTTTTTGAAGTTGGAAGACAGAACACATCGCATCTTTTTTGGATTCGTAGACTCTGGTCGGCGTGGGGGGGTGCACGTTGCTAGGGTCTGCAAGGGCCGTCGATGAACACCACAGCTTCGGTATGGAAGTCTTTATTGAAGCTTTATTCAAGCAATAAACACTCACATGTTTGAACTCGGAAGAATCCACTCATCCATCAGAACTGGTTCTCCTTTTTCCCGTGCCATGGACGACGAGCCTCCACTCTTCGAGCGCTTGGGAGGGCATGAGACCATTGAAGCCATCGTCACATGGCCGTCGGAGCAGTGTGCTCCGCGGGTGATTTGGGGTTTACCCAGACGCTGAGAGCCTGGCTGGAAAAGCTAGAGCAGCTAGGTGCTGGTATGAAGCACTGTGTTTCTGATGCTGGTTCGCTATCCATGAACCCAGAGTTCCTACAGTATCCAATCGGGGTGGCTAGGCCTAGGTGAACTGGGTGGTGTGCCCAAATGCACATCCACGCGCCTGGGGTACAAAACACCACTACAACCATGGTTGGCTGCCAGAAGCTTCATTTGGCTGCCGTAAATAGATGGAACGTTAATCACTTGAGCATCACTGGATGCAGGCTCATAAGAAATGACCTTAACCAGGTTTTGCAAGGTTTTGCAATATCACCACTGTAATGGTTTGAATCCTGGAACAACCAATCTACTTGGTTTCCCATTCTTAGACCGCAAAATAGCGTAAATGTTCCATGTAGGTAAATCATCCACATTGACTATATAGGCGCTGACAGAGCGTTTGGGGCAGCCCTTATAATGGTGGTACCACCAGCATCCAGTCAACTGAGGAATTCTTCTGCACGCCACCCTCGGATGATTCTTTCGAGTTGGGAAGCCCCATGTTGCTTTCCGTTGGGGGCCAATCAGACCATGCACCCAGCCATATGGCTGTGGGTCCTTTTTTCTGGGAGACCGTGGTTGACCGAACAGAGTAGACGACCTGAACAGAATACGGTCAACCTGCCAGGCTCGTCAACCTGCCCTCCAGGGTGGACTGGACCCAGCGAGCGATCACGGGCATGAAACCGATTGGATGAAACCTGATCAGCGATGAAACGGATTCCGACTCGCCATCCGTCTGACAGGAACACTTTTTGCCAAAGAAACGATCAGAATCCTAGCGCCAGGAGTGAAAGAGGGGTGGTTGCTGGATGATGGCTCCTCCAGGGCATCCAGCATGGATGGTGGTGTCCTCTCCATTGTGAACTGCAACTGGAGGTGATTTCCAATGGTCTTGCCGGGACAGGTGCGCTTTCCACTCGTGAAACTGAAATCACCAGGTTCCAGTCCCAGTTCGACTAAGACCATAGACATCCATAGAATACCCGGTTCCTATAATAGTGGAATTACTGGGATCCACTGTTGTGCTAGATATGCACTATAGGACCATAGGAGCATCCTGTCTGGGTGTCCTGTCTGGACTACCCTACTCTACTTCGAGATGTCCGTATCACTCCCGGACACTCATGGGTCATGGATGATCACTGGCATGTGTCATGACTCATCTCATTTCACCATCTTTCACTCCACTTCCACCCCGTGGCATGCTGGAAGAAGACAACCCAGCACCCCGAAGAACCGAACCAACCGGACATTCCCCCCAGATCCGACCGAACCTCGCAGATCGCGCGCGCGATGCGGATCCGCCTGGGGATCCGCCCAGGTCTTTGAGTTGTACGACCTCATGCGAGCGGACAGCTTGCTAGGCTTGCGGGGTAGTGCGTGGTCCGAAGTGGTGTTCTATAGGGCCTTGGAAGGATTCCTGGCTCACCATGGATTTCAGAGCCTGAAGATGCCTGCATTCCCGAACAACAGTTGTTTTACTAAGGATTTTACCCCAGAAAAACCAGACAAACCATTAAGCTCTATATATCTCTATATAGTAGTTTTTGGGACAAACCCAGGGGAGAGTGTGCCAAGTGCAAACAGAGTGCCTCAGAGATCCATAATGAAGGTGTGATCACAGGTCCAAGGCTCACCTTCTGCCCTTTTCTGGATGAAACTAACTCGTTTCATCCGCGTCAAAAAGCGACCGGGTATCTGATCACTTTTGTTGCAAGCCACAAAAGTGAAGGACCAACCTCACCAAGACCTCTCTCATCATCATTTCATCAGTCACTTCATCCATCTTCATCCTCCGAACGCCCACCAGAAAAAATACCAGCTGAATTCAGCCGCAAACACTTCCACACACTTCTTCTTCTTCTTCTTCTTCTTCTTCTTCTTCTTTGCGCCAGACCTTACCACGCCTAACTTGGCCGCGTCCCAACCACTGTCCACACGTGCCAACCGAGTCGCTTTCGTCGCCCACCGCCAACCCGCTCCGCCAACCGCACCGCTCTGCCGCCGAGGTCCGCAGTTCGAGCGCTTCGCTCCCACGGTGAAGACCTTCCATCGGCTGAAGGTGCGCACCGTGGAGTGGCTCGAGTGGGTGACGCTCGGTTCGACGTGACCGACAGGTGTTTCGACTGTCAGGGCGTGTGGGAGGGAGTGAGTGGGTAGGTGGAGGAGCTTGGCGCGGTGCTGAAGCGGGGTGACTTGGAAATTGTAGCTTGGTGTGGTTTTGGTGTGGTTCTTTCTCTGGTGAGGTCGAGTTTTCAGGTATAACCCATCCCTGTCCATGGAGTGAGGTCGACTGAATTCATGTGGCACAGGTTTGGTGGTGAAAATTCATCAGGAGTCCACATCGAGCGGTGGTTTGGTGGTGTTGGGTATCAAATTCAGCGCTTAAAGCCAGCAAATTTGGAGATTCAAGTGGGTAAGAGTTTGGGGTAAAGGGAAACCCAGGCTCAGGGCTGACACTTTTTTGGGATATCAAAATCATTCACTTCAAAATCCCTGATCTCATTTGTGCTTGTGATCGATTCAATCTAGGTTTAACCTTGTGAAACTGCCTGAGAAGACAGTCAAGGTTCTTCCTTTGCTATGACGCTTGCAATTGTCAACATGTGGGAGACTTGTTTTTGGACGTGGTTTGTAAATCGTGTAAAATCTGGATCTGGTGGGCTCCAAGTACAAGCCCTGGCAAGCTTGACATCAGAGATCCATCCTACTCTTGATCAGAGATCCATCACCCCATGCACTATAAACTGGACATGGTGGAGCAAAGATGAGCAAAGCAATTACAGTAGAAATAGCAGATCATCGTGATGTAATGTGTTTTGAGTGATGTCAAAATACCAGATCTTCCCTGCTCAAACAAAAAGGCTTTCTTTGGCCTTGAGAACTGGTGTCTTTATTGAACGCGTTGAACCACCGATCTTCATTCTTCACAAAATGCAGTTGACTGAGGCTGGGTCAACCCATATGGACCCATGGCAAAAAGCCAAGGTTTTCATTCCCCATCATCATGGACCAGCAAACCTACAGAAAACATAAGAAGTCATCGTAGCCAGTAGTCCCCCTTGGAGGGTGCTTTCCAGTCTTCTAATGCCAGTTTAGCATGAGAAATCATTAAATCATATCAGCTTAGCTACAAAAAGTCGTGTTCACAACTGGTTTTCCCTTCATCTCATCAGTTCCTGGCAAGCGTCGATCGAACTCAGGATCGGAGGACCTACGAACTACGATGGGCCCGATCTGTATGTAGCTCATGCATCGATGCATATCGATGACCTCTCGTACTCTTTGATGATGAACTTGTCACGTGGCCGTGGTTTTTCCGGTTCCTTTTGGACGTCCAAGTGGAACCCGCTAATTAGTTCCGCTATTTTTCGGTCAAGCTGGTCAACGTCTGGAGTTTTGGTTTGGGTTTGAACTGGGATGGGCCGTTGGTTTTTCTTATTAAAAAAGAAATACTATATAGATAGTAGATGGGTGGAGCGAGTCCCCTTTTCAATTTGACCCTCTTTCTGGGCGTTCTAAACCGAGCTTGGCCAGAAGATGAAACGAGCTTGGCACATCTGCAGGATCGGGTGACTAGAAGTGGATCCGGGGGAAGCACACAAGCGGTACCAAGCGGTACCCTGAAATCGGTTCAACCTGTCTTGGTGTCTTGGTGTCATTCTTATGGGGCACCTGTGAGAAGCATTTATGCATGTTGAGAAGTGTGTAAGGAACTAAGTTCTATATACCTTGCTTTCCATCGCAAGGACCAAGTATACCTACGCAATGCTGTGGAAATTGTGTATCTACTTCCGCACTCAAGCAGGAGTTGTTTGGAAGTGTAATCATGATCCATCGACAGGGTCAGACGCGGAGTTGTTCGCATTGCTTTCTGTTGCAGGAAGGTGTCCTCCGTTGCATGGCATCGAACCCCCCCCGAGCCGCTCCAATCAACACTTTTTGGTTCTGAGTAAAGCCCAAGACCAGGCCTCACGAGGCCGCATTCCGGCCCCACCATGGCAGACCCGATCCGGGACGTCCCTCCAATTCTTGGAACCGAACCGCCGAACAACTCCGCTCCGCCCCAGGTACAAAGACGTCTTGTCGCGCGTGTCCACCATCGACGACCTCTCCAAGGAGGAGTTGTTGTCACTGCTGGAGGCCCAGCGGGGTCCCATCGTGGACATCAACAAGGAGCTCCTTGGAGCGATCGCAAACCACGCCATTCTCGACCACCTCCGAGCGCATGGAGCGCGTCCGAGTTGGGTCGGTGGCAACGACCCCACAAAGCAAAAGTACAGTTTTCAAAAAAGTAATCTGGGATCTTACCTGTTGGGAAAGGGCGTTCAGCAACCTGAAAACTGAGAAAACATTACATTGAACAACTAGCAGACACAATTGACTATAAGTAATATATAAACTAGCCAGTACAGGTTGCTTCCAAATGTTTTTTTTTTGTCTCATGCAAGGCCATGAAAACAATCTGTCAGTCAGAGGGAAAGCAAGGTGAACGTTTCCTTTTTTTCTCCGAGAAAACATGTCTTGCAGCAAAGCATCAGTAGTAGTTGACATGCAGGCACGCGTGGCAGGTGTTCACTGTGACATGCTAGCTAGCTTTAATTGATAGATCTCCAGTCATCTCCAGTCCGCTCGATTCAGATCGAGCGGACCGTGCCAAAGAAGCCGAAGATAGGTAGCTTGTTCGAGAAAGATAGGTAGCAAGTTGAATGGTAGACCAAGGGCTCAAACATGGGTAGACCAAGGTAGCATGTCTAACCAAGAGGCCCTTGGAGATAGATCGAACATATCACGCGGTTCCACTGTGGTTCTCTGCTCCAGCATAATTGGAGTTATTCCTTTCCTTAGGGCCTTGAAGTTTTTGGGACACTTTTGCCGTGCTAAGCTGGAGTCTCCCAGCTTCTTTCAATACGAAGGCCTTCAAGACCCGCACCCTATACACCGCAAGAACCATGAAAACTGTCGAGGTTTGCCCGAGAATTTGAAGAACGCATGGAGAAGCTGCGCAAGGAACGGGAGTTGAAGAAGGAGAAGTTCCGGCCACTTGGCCTTTGTCCCAAGCAGCGGCGGGAGAGGGAGAGACCTGAGACGGTGCTTCGACGTTGCGCGGTGGGCGCGGTGGAGACGGTGGAGACGGACACATCGAGGTCTCGACCCGGAGGGAGTGATTTCGACAGCCAGAGAAGCATTATAGTCTCTGAGTTTTTGCTTCCATCCCTAGATGGATTCTTTCTTTTGCGCACTGGGCCAAGGTCCAGATCGGTGTCACCTCATGATCCAAGGGGGGCGTGGTGGGAATGAGCTGCTCATGCTTGCTTGTTGTGGCACCCAGAACCTTTCTCCCTTCACGAAGTAGGTGTGATATGGTGTGATGGCAAGCCTGGACAAAAGGAAATGCTGAGGGCCAAGTACCGAACGAAGGTAGGACTGGACCTCCTGGCACCCGACCCTGTTTCGGTGTCTCTGTCCTCACCGTACCTGATTCGGTTCGATACGAAAACGGATCCCAAAACGGGACAGAGAGCGGTGTCCAATCCTCCACAGCGGTGGTGGTGGGACACCATCGCCCCCAAGCCTAGGGTTTCTTTCGGAGTTGGAAAGGCGAAGGTCTCGGTGTTCACCGCCAGGAGGTCGGTTCCTTTGCCGCCGTCAGCGGGGGTCTGAGGTGGTCAGGCCTTTTGGTGCGTAGGGTTGATAGGGTTGTGGGTCGCACCTGGAGCCCGGTTTCACTCACCCTCTGAGGTTGTGGGTCCCCTGGTAGGCCGCCATGACCGGTGATGTTTGTTCGGTGTTCCAAACGGTACCACCGGTGCCATGATCCACAGCCAGATGATGGACGTCTGTCTACATGGGATTATGGGTACCCTAGGATTCCAAGCAGCATTGATTTCGTTTAGCCTGAACAACCACTGTTCTAGTAGAGATTGTACACTACAGCAGTACTCAGCACCAGGTCAACCGACCTCTTTTGATGGTTCAACGTGAGGCTGAGGTAGAGATAGCCGATAGCCACTCCGATAGCCATACTTCGACACGACCATTGTCCGTGAATTCAATCATGAAAGATCATGAAAGCAGTGAGGGTTTTTAGTTTTAGAGTTGTAGCTCGAGACAATTGGTGTGCGAATCTCCCCGTTCTCTGACAGGTTCAATCTCATGATTGCCACTCAGCCACTCTGGGCTTCTCAATTCTTTCCAGGACATGTTCGAAGGGGCTATATATATATATATGTAATATATATCCAAGCCTTCAGTCTGACCTGCGCTTATTATTTGCGCTATTATATTGCTTCTGGCACACCATCCCAGTCCACCTCACAACCCCTCAGACACCCACACCTTCCCTCACATTCAGGCAGCAGAAGGCGGCCAAAGCGAAGGCCAAAGCAGCGGCACAGGCTGCGACCGCGCAACAAGCAGCCGCTGCCAAGGCCAAGCCGAAGCCGAAGCCTAAGGCTCAAGTCGGCGACTTGGACAAGCAGGGTGGTGGTCATAGATCGCCTTTTACACATCATGAGTCCAGGTGAAAGTCAGATCCCCATAGATCCCCTAAGTCACTGTTGTTTTGGGCGGCACAGGCTGTCCCAAACTGGCTCAAGGCCCACGTCGCTTCGTTCCCAGTTGAAGGTGTTTTTTGTTGAGTCCAGACCAACTAACAATTCAGTTCTAGATAGGTTTTGTCATGTTTTGTCCATTGACCGTAGAGGGTTTTGTCCAATCCAGAATCCAACATTCTGTTGGAGGCCATTGCTATATTATTAGGTTGGAGGCCATTGCTATCAGGTTGGAGGCCATTGCTATTAGGTTGCAGGCCGTTGCTATTAGGTTGCAGGCCGTTGCT